TTATGATGATTTTTGGACTTTTATCTTGTTGCCCTGTTTTGTTTGTTTTATGAAATGGTAGTTTGGATTTTTTTTGGGTTAATTAAATGAATTTATGGAATTTTTATTGTAAATATTATATATTAGTTGAAATGATATTTTAAATAAGTGATGAGTGAATTTTTTTGGGTATTATAAACTCTTAAAGTGAAATACTTGCATGTGTGTGTGAATTTGGGTGAGTTGTAATTGTATTATCGACGTCGTAATGCTTTAGAGAAGGATAATACTATCTTTAGCATTACTTCGCCAAGAGTTGTGAATGCACATAATTGTTGAATTCCGATAATTAATTATATTCCCAAACTCAGACGATACCTTTTGTGGTTTATTAAGTTGAATTGTGTTTTGAAATGGATTTTCAATTGAATTTGATTTTATTATGCTGTTTAAATTGAGTGTAAGACCATTTTGGGCTTCTCTGCAGATTTCTGAGTGAAATATATTATATTAAGGGGCCGTTTGGTTCACGGTAATAATCAAAGGGAATTGGATTCCATGGGAATCATTCCCTTTGTTGTTGTTTTTTTTTGCATTTCTATCATTCCCTTTCCCCTTTGATTACCCAAAAAGCTTCTATTCCCATTCCCCACCCCCTAGCCTTTCCCATTCCCTTTCCCCAACCACCACCGTACCCACATCAACCACCCTCACCCAGGCCACTTCTCGCCGAAACTTCGTTGCCCCTCACCGAAATCTCGCCGCCATCCCCCGACCCTTGCCGCCCCTCACCGGAATCTCGCCACCCCTTCTCTCATCGGAAAATCATTCCCTCACCCACGCACCATACGACTGCACTCATCCTCCACCCAAAACTCAAGACTTGTAGATAAGCTAAAACGCTGTATCTCCACTTTCCCCCACCTCCTTCCAACAATCGAATAACAGAGTTACAAAGGTACAAACAATTAGCGAAGGAGGAGGAAGATACCAAAGTTTTCTTTCTCCTCAACTCTCTCATTCTCGCTAGTATTTGTTCCGCCATTAGAGGACGATGGAGGTGGCGAGCTCGGAAAATCATTCCCTCACCCACGCACCATACGGCTGCACTCATCCTCCACCCAAAACTCAAGACTTGCAGATCAGCTACGGTGAAGGGGTGGGTTTTTGGGTTTTTCTGGGCTTAGGGCGGTTTTTTGGGGGAGGAATGAGCTGTGCAGGGGTGGGGGAGAGGTGGCCTAGGGTGGTGAATGGTGGGGGAGGTGCGGTGAGTGGTTTGGTGGATGGATGGTGGCTGGAAAAGGTGGAATTAGGTGGTGGTGGGATTTGTTTCCCTTTGTTATTAAACAAACAACATAGAAAATTTCAAGGGTTTCATTCCATTCTCCTCCATACCCTTTCCCCATTCCATTCTGATTCCACTTTGCGAACCAAACGACCCCTAAGTATTTTAAGTAATTTTTGAATTGTGTGTGGAGCCATGGTTGGGTGTGAGGCTGAGTTGCTTCCCAATGGCTAATGAACATGCTAAATACCTTGATTGCGAGTCATGGGTAGCTCAACCTGGGTTAATTGTTGTCTTTTGGAGGTGTGTAAGACCTTATAGGCATCTACCCATAACAGGGAGTTGGCCAATCTTAGACACGGTCTCTGCGAGATGACCGAGGGTTCGTCCTAACAAACCTTAGGAAGTGGATTGCGAGGCCACTAGCGTTCCCTCCATGCCAGTTCTACTGTTTTGAATGTTTTGAGTTTGAAATATTGAAACTATGAAATTATTACTTATTTTGAAGTTTATATAAATTATGATTGAAATTAGTTATTTAATATTGATTTCCCATTTTAAGTTTATTTTGAAATATTTCAGGTTTGTATTGTTAGATGGTTTTAAGTGATTTGTTTTGAGTTTTCAAGTTGTTTTCATTATGGTTTCTTTCTATTAATTTAAGTCTAAAATCTTCTATTTCTTATTTGAGGGAGAACTACTAGTTGCTCCCCACTGATTGTGGAACATTGTTGTAATTTGCAGGTTCTATTTGTTTATTTGAACTTTGTGACGATGGGTTGGAGATTGAGAGTTTAGAACCCAACTTTTGGGCTTGTATGCCTTTGTTGTTAGTTTCTTGTTTAAGTACTTTGAATTTGGTTTTACTTTGATTTCAATTTGGCCAATAAGGGTTGCTCTGCCCTTGGCTTTTGAATGTAATTGATTTGCCTAAATTTAAGTCGTTTGTTATTTTCTATTTTACCACTTAGTTTGCGCTTAGGTTAAAATAACTTAGTTTGGATGTTTGAATGACTTAAATTTAACTTTTAGACCTAGGTTAAGCTTAACTTTGTCAATCGAAGTTAAGTAGCCTCCCGTTCAGGCGTAATTCTGCTAACGCTTCCAGTTCTAAAAGAAAGGGGTATTACACCGAACCTCGCACAAGTGTGTGTTCACGTCAAGGAGATCTTTTAAGGGTTGTAACGGGGTTAGGCTAAAGGTTGAAGAAGAAGAAGGGATAAAGGTTCAAGACCTAAAGTAAGCCCCCCAGGTGTGCAACCTTGCATTTGAATCTTGGTATTTGTATGCTTGAGGTTTCTCAATTTTGAACATTTTTTTTTTTTTTTTTTTTGCATTAGATATTTGTATTTGAATCTTCCTTGGAAAAGTGCGAGCAATCCCTATCATGCAGGCAATCACTCACTTGGCAATCCCGATCATGCGATCATACAATGTCGAGCACTCGATAACAGACACAATCTAAGATGTATTCATATCTTAGACATTGGAATACTTACCCTTTTGCACACTTTTATTGCTTTTTGAACTTTCGAAATTTTCGGACTTTGGTAAAAATCACTCAAGCTTTTGATTTGAAAATTGCCTAAGTTACACACATCCCATCCCAAGGTTAGGTAGATGTGGGTTGAAAAAAGAAAGGCCAATCGTTAAACGAGCCTCAAAGTGGTTTATCAAGAAAGGGTCGTGTAATTGAAAGGGTAAAGGTGATATGATGTGGCTACAAGGGGTGCCTCAAATCATTGGTATACCTTGTGTTTAGTTCAGCATGGAATTTTTTTATTTTTTATTTTTTTAATGAAATGCAATGATCATATGTAAGGATATAAATGCTCATTTTATTGAAAAATGGAAAGGGTAAAAATAAACTCATGAAATAAATCTAAAAAATGATGGAGGGTGCCTATGCTAGACTTATTAAGGGAAAGGAAAATAAAAAAATAAGAAAGAAGAAATCATGGAATCTTGTTGTTGGAGCTTGCCTTGTGCTTTATGCTTATCATCACTTGGCCTTCTTGTTGCTCGGAGGAACATGAAGGCAATTCAAATCAATGAGGTCTTGAATACGATCCTTGGGGGTGAAACATTTCTCAGTAGTGTGACCGTTGCCTCGATGGTATTTGCAATAGGAGCTTTAATCCTAATTAGGAGATCGTCTCTCAGGTACTGGATCTTGGATTTGACCAATGGGGTTGAATGATACCTTGGCCATGGAGGTAGTCGAAAGCTTCATTATAAGTCATTCCTATTGGTGTATATTCATCAATGGTCTATTTTACCCGTAGCTTAGGAGCATTGAGTGTTTTCTTTAACCTTTGAAGGGAAGAAGGAGGATGATCGTTCTTTCCATTCTTCCAATCTTGGCGATGAGGGTTTAGTTCAATGACTGACATTCGATTCACAAGATTTTCCACCATACTTGTAAGCTTGGTAATGGAATCTTGGAGCTTATCAATGTTTTCCTTTAGATCTTATCAATGTTTTCCTTTAGATTTGCTAAGTTTTCCTCGATGGCATATAAGAAAACTTCTTCATCCTCCTCAATCATGGTCGCTTCGTTAATGGAAGTTATATAAACTGCATCGATCATAGGCTCATCAATAGGTGTAATGGGGAGAGAATGAAGGGTCAAAGGTTATTTGATCCTCTGCGATAGCTAGAATCTCTAGGGCCTTAATCATCCTAGCAGAAACTTCCTTCCACCTATTATAGAATTCGGTGAAGCCTTCATTATGTTTTTGTTTCAAGATTTCAAGTTCTCTGTGATCAGTCTCTACTTGTAAGTTGCACTGGTATCTTTTGATGAAAGTATGTACAATACTCTCCCAAGTAGCAGTGTCCTTGGAATCCAGGGAAATAAACCATTGTTGACACACTGTTTCTAATGAGAAATGGAACAACGAAGGGAAAAGTTGCTTGTTAGCCCCCTTAATATCCATGATTGTTTCTAAAGCTTTCAGGTGGAAGTAAGGGTTATCTGTGGGCTTGAACTTAGGAATTTCAGTGGTAGAGAACTCGTGCGGAAGAAGTTCCTTGTTCAGTGAGATTCCTTTGGTATTCATGTCAAGATATTTATAATCATTGGAAACCTGACTTAGCGTCTCTTCGATGCACTTGATTGTTTCAAGTGGAACTTGTTTATTAGGGTCTTCAACTTTCTCCATTCGAATGGTGAGTGCTTTGATAAGCTCGGCAAGACCCTCCATGGCCTTTTGGAGTTTGTCCACATCCTCTTGTTTTGCTGCCATTGGTTTGTTCTTCCTTCGAACCGTGTTCCTAAAGAAGATCTCTTGAATGTAGGAGTTATCTCGAACTAATTGACCCTCTTTCCTTGACCAAACGCTGTAGAAATAAAACCCATGGACACTTATTGTCAATTACTTGACTCAAACTCGATTAACATGCATAGATGGGGAAAGATCATAGTGTAGGAGGGGAATGATATATATGGGGAAGCATGAAAGATAAAAGCATGTGAATGTGGAAAGTGTCTAAGAAGGAAAGTGTAAGGTATGCAATGTATGAAAGGTGATGCAGAAGGAAAGGATGTATTTGCGGAAAGATATGGAAATTTTCGGGAATGGGAAGGACCCTCAACTCAAATGATGGAAAGGATGACTCATGCGTGGACCTAAGACATGGCCATGGTGTGAAGAAAGTATGTACAAAGTGTGTGCAAAGACTCGTGAATGACAGTGATATTTACAAGACTCGTGTCATGACCATGTGACTAGACATGTGGTTTGACTTGAACAAGACCAAGAAAAGACCAAATGCTGTCATTAAATTAGTTAATCGTGATAGCGGGACTCGATGTGAAGAATCAGAAAGAAAAACCGAACCATCGCGTGGCGATGGAACTGCTGCGGGATGATGGGTCCAATGCGGCACGACAATCCTATTGTGACGCGTTGGTTGCTCTCGTTTTGCGCCACAGAGTTGAAGTAATACGCCAGTATCGGAGTATTACGACGATCTGTTTTCAGTCATTCTTTTTAAGGTTTAAGCCTATAGGTCTCCTAGGTCGAGCGTATTCATAATTTATGGGTTCATTGTAATTAACCAAATTAATTAAGCAAAGCCCTTTGGGTTAGTATATACAAGTCATATGTACAAGAATCAAGTTAAGACAAAGGGTTAGTTTAATCACAATCAAAGGGTTAGTTTAATCACAAGCAAGGTATGAGCAAGTAAAATATGCACAAGTAGTCACAACATGATGCAATGAGTTTGCAACCTAACCATGGCTCCAATTCTCTAAGGTCAAGGATTATGGTGTCCAAGAGAGTCCATGGTTTAGAGTTTAGATGCATCGCGCGGAAGCCTTACCTTAGAAGGGTTGGCACGATGGACGGGACTCCGTGAGTTAAACTCAACTCCATGGTTTGGTGAATTCAACAAACTCGGATGCACCCATTATTGCACGGAGCGTTTATTAGGGTGGACAGGGCGTGAATTCCTAAGGGCTAAAACCATATATAGAACACATATGGGTTCAGAAAAGTAAAAAAAACTTAATCAAGAAGTAAAATCGTCGAGACAATACTAGAATCAGGCGAAACACGAAGACAGAATTTTGGCGCAGAATCGCCAGATCGTATCACTGGAAGGCAGGGTCCAACGTCCGGCGACAGCATTGTCGCGATGCGATAGTGCTGTCGCGTGGCGTTGGTCACTGATGCCTCACAATGATTTTGACACTCTGCGACAGTTTCTATTTTCGATGTTTTTTTCCGATTTTTCGTAGCGTCTTTTCGATTTTAGTTGTGAAAAATATTTTCGACCTTTCCTACGTGTATGTCCTTTGTTTTGGACGCATTATGGATGGTTTTTCCAATGCGTACCTTTTTATTCTTATGCCACAATGTTAATCAAAATTACGCACATGAATATCTAGAACCTTTCAAGTCTCATCCACTCATTCTAAATCAATTGCCAAACAAACTAGAAATTAATTTAAAAATCCTCCCTAGTGGAGTCGCCAAAAACTGTAGGGAATTTTTCAACTCTCGCTCTACTGTGGGTCATTCTTTTAGGCATGGCGGTGTTCCAAGAAAAAGAAGCTAGAGATAAAAGAGTCGGCAACAATTTTTAAGAACTTGTAAACTGTTCACAGGTGTGAAGGTTACACCCCATTCACGATCACGGAGATCGCTAACTCCATAGTGATCCAAAACCATGAGTAGATGTTCAGGGATGATGGTACGAATCCAACCTAAAAGAGATTGAACTCGCCTTAAATAGGCCTCTACTCTATTCTTATGATATTCATGTGTGCTTTTTAATCAACATACATACATCAAGTTAATCCTAAACCCGTTTAATCTACGTTAGTTGATTATTAATGCACAATAAAATCTATTATTGGTGATCACTTGAATTAAAATCATATTAAGCCTAAGTAAAATTATTAATTATCTAATTGGGCGTGATTTCAAGTAAAAATTCCCTTTAAACCTACAAAAAGGGGCATGATCAAGAAATAACAAATTATTATAAATAATCAAGCAACATAATATTAATACAACAATCATCATCATACAAAACATCATCAAAACATCGTTAATAGTAAGATCCTAGACATGATACTAAACGGATTAATAACAAATCCTAGCATGTCACTAATAACAAAATCAAAGCGTTATACTAAACATGATACTAGAAATCATAAAAACATCCTAAGCATGATACTAGGAATTAAAATAACATTGTAAATATGATTTCTACTCCAAAATCAAAGAATAATAACAAGGGTGATTGAATTACTCACTTTGATGCCTCAACCTTATTGCTATTAAAACAATACACACACGTTAGAAAACTTCAAGAAAGTTAAATCAAGAAAGTAAATAAATCAGACATGAATTGAAATATAGATTTGGGACCAAACTCTTAGAACTATTAACCTTTCACGTCGAAGTCAAAGGCAACGTCGAGGACTCGTGAATGAGGTATTGTGACTGATTTGGGAGAATATCAAGGATGTGTTTAGGCTAAGGCTAAGAATATGGATGATTGATAAGGATTGATGATGATTGGAGCTAGGTGGTAATAGCTAATTATGGCTTATCTTTGATGGTTCTAGCTGATTTGAAAGTGGGAAAAACGAACTCTATTTATATGGAAAAAAAGAGAGTCTAGCGATAAAAAAAGATCAGAATTTGGAACGGGATAGAACTTCTCTATCGCGGGGCGACAGACTGTCGCGACGCGATGATGCTGACGTTTCGCGTTGGTTTTGTCGTCCTACGATAATTTCTAAAGATGATAAAGCCATACGGAGTTTGACTTCTAATAGAACTAGATTTTTGAAATATATCCGGACGTCTTTTAATTTGGACGGGATAAAGACTACCATATGAGAAGTTTTATTCGGCTTCGAACTCTTTTTATCTTTATCTTTTCGGGATGGATAGATTAGAACCTTCTAGAGGGTTCTAGAAGTTCCTAAAGAATCCTAATTGGTTTAGGATTGGGAATATGAATTTTGGACCCTCACATGATGATTGGGTCGTAGGTAAGGTGGACCTAGGATCGGTTTGGGCTCGGTTTAGTATTTTGGCAATAACTTATTCGTTTTAAGTCGGATTTGGGCTTATAATATATCGTTAGTAAGAACTTTTCAAGCTCCACCTAAATAAACAATAATTGGACCAGAATTATGGACCAAAATAATATAGTTTGGAACATTTTTATAATTTGGGCACGAAATGATTGATTCTTAAAGACACAAAATGAATGATTTTGGGTTTAATGACACGAAATGAATGATTTTGGATTAAAACATTTTAAGAAAGGTTAGGGGTATGGTCAAGGCTTAAGGGAACTTCACAAGACTCTTCAACACTTTACCGAACTCGTTAATCAAAACGTGAAAAGTACTCATCACTGGGTTTGGTTTTTGGGGAGACACAATCAGGTGTCTACAATATCAAAACTATAGAGACCCAAGTGATGACTTCATTGAGGAACAACTTGAAAATGTAGACAATTCATCAACTGGAAATGCTTTAAGACCATTTCTTGTTACTCGCGGGTAGTTCACGGAGCGAAATTTGAATAATTTTATGTCAAGGAGGGAAGACCTTCTAAATAAACAAATGCATATATATGCGATTGAAGAACGACTTGGTGGAACATATATGGAGGAAATATCAAGGATCCATTTCATAGTCAATGATTAAGAAATTAATTTCTGTAAAGTTTATTGTCATTTGCATTTGAACATTTTTTTATCGAATTAACTTTGATATTTAATATTAGAAGTTTCGATGTATTTTTTAATTAACGCATTAATGTTAATATTTCTAATTAACGCCTTAATGTTATTTTCATTTTCAATTTGTTCTAATCGAACTAAGTATTTTAGCAAAACAATAATTTTTATAATCTTGACTATATATTTGACTGTATATATATATATACATATATATATATGTTTATGTGTGTATATATATACTTCCTCCGTTTTTTTTATTGCTTCATAGGGGTTTTGGAGGCAAAATTTGGTAGTGGGAAAAAGTAAGAGAGAGAAACGTAAAAATACAAAATTGTCCATGTAATGTAAGATAAAATAAAAAGTAAGTGTGAAAAAGTAAGGGTACGTTGGGTATTTGCAGTGTGAACATATATATTTTTTATCCTAAAAAGGAAATGATGCAATAATAAGTAAACTTCCTAAAGTAGTAAGTGATGCGATAAAAAAAGAACGGAGGAAGTATATACATATATATATATATGTATATATGTATATAATACAAACTGAGAACTAATCCGAGCCGTCCATCGCGTTAGATCTAACGCTCTACACTTCACCCGCCTCATTAAGGGTATTTTCGTAATTTCCACTGTTGAATGACCTTCGTTCTAACTCTCTCTCTCCTATTTTTACTTTCTCTCTCTACGTTCTTACTTTCTCTCTCTACCTTCGATCTCTTTTAAGGCGAGTTTGCTCTTCGACTTTGCGCTTCGATTTCATCGATTTCCCTCTTCGATTTTGCATATTCTTTGATTGTTCTTCTATGTTTTTCCTTTAATGCTATGATTCGATCTTACTAGAGAGGCAATTTTTAGTTTTTTTGTTTGTTTTGTGTATCTTCTTTATTGATTGATCATATAATTAGGGTTTTTGCTTTGTTTTTGTTCGATTTCGTTCTCGATTTCTTTTAATATTGCTTTTAGTTTGATTTCTATTATTATTTTGTTCGATTTTGTTTTTCGTTTTCGATTTTACATATAATTAGGGTTTTTGCTTTTGTTTTTGGTTTATTTTTGTTCTTCTTTACTGATTTTTACTTTAGTTTTTAATTATTCTTGATTTCGTTTGATTATATAATGCAATTTTTTTAATTGTTTTACTTAAATTTGATTATGTTATGTTCATTACTGCTTTTTTGATTTTTTGATGTATTCTTTTATTTTTGCTTTTACTTTTATATGGTTTTTATTTACTTTAAAGTTATCATTATTTAATGTTAATTAGAGGATTTAATTTTGCTTGATATTATCTTTTAATCATATATCAATACTTAAAACAGATGATAAACTAGTGATTGATCAAGCACTTACACATTCTTTAAATATTTCATTTCCTCATTTTTTAATTGTTTTGCTTTTACTTTTAGTGATGTTTTGTCTACTTTTAATTTGGATTCATCTACTTTTCAGGATGATGTCTTAAACAGTTGGGCTCTCTTCACCTGATGTTCATGCTGGAGATGTTAATGTAAGCATTTTAAAAACTCCTCATGTTGTACTACCTAGGACAGTTTATAATTCTAAAGGTGGTAAAGAGTTTATTCCTGGTTTTTCTATGGAAAATAAGCCTATTTTTGGAATGAAATTAATTTCTTCAAGATGGAATTGATTTTTATAATAAGTATGCTAGTGAATGTGGATTCAAAATCCGTAGTAGTACTAGCAAGGTAGAAAAGAAGTCGACTGGTCCTAATGGTAAAAAGGGTGTTGTACTTATTAAATATTTGGTTGTAACAAAGAAGGTTTTGTCAATGATAATAAAAAGATAAAAACTATGTTGAAGGTGCTGTTTTTAGGAAAAAGACAGTCAGGAGGATTGGGAGTCCTGCTATGATTAAGTTTAAGTATTGTGATGGTGGAAAGTATATGGTTTATTTCTTTCATGAAAGCCATTGTCATCCCTTCTCAACTCCTACTACCAGACAGGTCACTAAACCATATGATGGCTTAACTTGTGTTCATAGGAAGTTTATATTTGATAATTCAAAGTTGAACATTGGTGTTGTTATGTCCTATAGGATGATGAAAGAATATTGTGGAGGTTATAAACATGTGAGAGGAACTAAAAATCAATTTAAAAACTTTTCTCATGGCTTAAAAGTTTATATTTCTGAAGCTGATGGGGCTATGTTTATAGAAAATCTTCAACAGAAAGTCAAAAACAGTAATGGTTGTTATTATTTGGACTATTGTGTTGATGCAACTAGGCATCTAACACGAGTTTTTTGGACTGATCCCATAGGAAGAAAGGACTTTCACTTGTTTAGGGATTCCATTTCTTTTGATACCACATATGATACAAAAAAATACTCCTTAGTGTTCTGCCCTTTTACTGGAGTTGACCATGATAAACGATGTGTCACATTTTGTGCGGCCTTGTTATCTAAAGAAGATGTGGAATCTTTTGTATGGATTTTTCAGACTTTTCTAAAGTGTATGGGAAATGAAACTTCTTGCCTTATTATTGACCAAAACCCTGCAATGGGTATTGCAATACAAAAAGTTTTTACCAAAACGAAACATTGATTATGCATGTGGCACATCATGAGGAAAGTGCTTAAGAAAGTGGGTACAACTTTCTGTAATGATACTGAATTTTTGAAAGAACTTTGTGATGTTGTTTGGGACAGGGAAATTGAACCTAATGAGTTTGTTGATGGTTGGAATACTGTGATGGAAAAATATGATTTGGTAGCTTATGAATGGTTTTCTTATATGTTCAAGATCAAGCATCTCTGGATCCCAGCCTATTTTAGGGATTTATTTATGGGTGGTTTGTTAAGATCTACCTCTAGATCTGAGGGTGAAAACAACTTTTTTTTTTGTAATTTCATAAATTCTCATGTGTCATGTGTTGAGTTTTTCCTTCGGTACGAAACAACCTTAGATGCACAAAGGCATGAGCAAGATGAACAGAATAGACTGAACAAGCAAATGCCTAAACTGATCACTCCATTAAAGTTAGAGAAGCATGGTTCTTCAGTTTACACTCGTTCTGTTTTATATGAATTTTAACAAGAATGCGAGGCTGCTTGTTTTTCTTATGGTGTTGAAAGCTGTAATTCTACTTATGGTGATGGAGTTGAGTTTTCCATTGTTGTAGACAATGAATGTCAAAGGAATTTTGATGTTACATTTGATTTATCTACACTAGAGTGTACTTGTACTTGCAAGATGTTTAAGAGTCAGGGTGTTCTGTGCGGACATATATTATTCATTATGAAAGGTAAATCAATATCTGAAATCCTTGAACATTATGTTTTGAATCGTTGGAGAAAAGATGTTAAGAAGAAACCTACATCAGTGGATGAGGCTTCTAACTTTGACAAAAATAAGCAACTAATCACTGATGTGTGGTTAAAAATGTTCTCCTGTGTTAGTCTAGCAGAGGGTTGTGATGATGATATGTTTGATTTTGTTAAATACTTGTCTTCATTTGAGGACGAGCTTATGAAAAAGAACAATGGTGAAGGTATATTACTTTTATCTTTATTTTATTTACTTTTATCTGAATTTTATGTACTTTACTATAACTTATACATTTTTTGAATCTTAGGTGTATGTTTCAAAGAAGGCAAAGAAGCTGATTCAGCTCTTTGTTAGATCTAATGTTGTTGATGTAGATATCTTGACTCCGAATCAATGCCTCAACAAAAGGTCTGCTAGAAGTTCTAAACACTTGAAGAGTGCCAAAGATGTAGCTGCTGAAGAAGAAAGCAAAAAAATAAGGACTTGCAGAGCTTGTGGGCTATAAGGTGTTTCTCATGACAGTAGAAACTGTCCAAATAAGTAGTTTGTCAGGTATGTTACTTTTTAAATTGTTTTTATTTACTTTTATTTGATCTTTGTTTACTTTACAACAACTTATGTACTTTTTGTTAATTTATTTCAAGTTCAACTGGGATAAGCAGGCTTTCATTATTGGATTGATGCAGTTGATGTTAAATATGCCTTAAAGTTCAGAAAATATTTACCTTTTTGTAATACATTTTTTTCATTATAATACTATTCACTACATTTACTTTAAGAAATTTCTTTTTAACTTTGTACTACATTTCAATTACTTTAAGATTTCTTTACAGTTCAATTACTTTTTTTATATCATTTTGTATCTAATAGAATTTAATATTTGTCCTTAGTTATATATATTGATCTCGAGTTTATGTTACAATCATTTTATCTATAATTTATGTTACAAGTCATTTATGCATAATTTATGTTACACATTATGCAAATAATTTTCGTTTACTGTTAATAATATTTTGTTTTCTTTTAAAGACATTTCTTTTACTTTTCATGGAAAAGAATATTCGGCTATTTCACCAAATGTCACTGAGTACTTAATAAATTCACCAAATGCCATCAAGGTTTTCAAAATTCACCAAATGCCATTGACAAACAGTACAATGACACCTCGTGCCATTAATTGCATATGGACGTTAGTTCTCCGTTAATTCAATTCTTATTTCACCAAATGCCATTACTTTGGAAAATTATTTCACCAAATGCTATTACTTTTTAAAACTAATACACAATAATCATTTATATTAAGAATAAAAAAATATTTTTTTCTCGATTTTCGTGACGAAAATTGCTCGGTAAAGTTTTGGGGGACATTTTGATCATTTATGGATACAAATTAAGCTCGGAATTGGCAAAAAAAATAACGTAAATGCTCCGTTTTGTGTGTCGAAAAATATCTCGATTAGCGTGTCGTTATTTTTTAACCATGAAAATTGATTAGGTAAGGTTTGGGGGTCATTTTGGTCCTTTATGAGTTCAAATTAAGCTCGGAATTGACAAAAAAAAAAAAGAAAGTATGTGCTCCGATTTGCAAATTTTCCGGCAAAAATATTATGATCTCAACATACAAAACGGGGCATATATGTTTTTTTTGTCAATTCTGAGCTTAATTTGAACCCATAAAGAGTCTAAATGACCCACTAAACCTTACCCCCAATCAATTTTCATGGTTAAAAAATAACGACAGGCTAATCGAAAGTTTTTCGACACACAAAATGGAGCATTTACGTTTTTTTTTTTTTTGCCAATTTCGAGCTTAATTTCTACGCATGAAGGATCAAAATGACCCAAAAACCTTACCCGATCAATTTTCTTGGTTAAAAAAAACAACACTCTAATCGAGATATTTTTTTAACATACAAAACAAGGTATTTACGCTATTTTTTTGCCAATTCCGAGCTTAATTTGTTCCCATTAAGAATCAAAATGACTCCCAAAACTTTTCCCGAAAAATTTTCGTCACCAAAATCGAATTTTTTTTAATAAATTAAAACAAATGATTAAAATGAACCAATAATATCATGACACGTGTCATGATTTAATCTTAATGATTAACTTAGTTAACGACCGTTAGTCATTAATGGCATTTGGTGAATTTTGAAAACCTTGATGGCATTTGGTGAATTTTTTAAGTACTCAGTGAAATTTGGTTAACTAGCTGAAGAATATTTAATAACACATACATTTTTATTTAATAAAAATATTCACCACATGACAGTGAATAAACCAAAATAGGCACACAACATAAAAGTAATTTTCAAAAGCTCAAATTAAAATATGTATTACTGTAATAGATAATACTTTTACTTTAAAAGTTATTTCATTTGCTTTTAAAACTTTTTGTTTACTTTTTAACTTATACGTAAATATATTAACAAACATTTTTTTTTTCATTATATATTAACTTTGAACCACCAACATTTTGCAATATAAGAATACTCAATAAAGAAAATAAAAATATATATAACTTTAATATATAATCCTTTTACTTTAAGATATATTTTGTTTACTTTAAAAACATTTTGTTTACTTTTTAACTTATATGCAAATATATAAACAAACTTTTTATACATACATACATACATACATACATACATACATACATACATACATACATACATACATACATACATACATACATACATACATACATACATACATACATACATACATACATATATATATATATATATATATATATATATATATATATATATATATATATATATATATATATATATATATATAACCCTTACAAATCCTTCCTACAAACATCATATAAACATCATACTAATCCTTGACACTAATATTAATACTATACATCTATACTGTCCAAATCTTATTTTTCTTCACCACCACCATTTCTATCTATTCCTTGTTCTTCCCTTTCTTAGCTATGTTTTCTTCTGCTTCCTAAAATATTAATGAAGTTAAAGAGTTAGTTGAAGTTTGTAATAAAAAAACAAAAATTATTATATTTTATATGAAAAAAAAACATCATTCTTACTTTTTTTTTCTTTAACTCCCATTGTTCAACATTTGCAAGTAGTTTGGTTTGCATTTGATTTTCTTCATTGAGAAGTATTAGAAGTAGTGTTGTTATATGATGGTGTTTCAATCTTTTAAATTTATGGAAAGAAACCAAAGATAAACAAAACGCTCAAAACTTAAGACAATGCTTCTAGTAATGCATATATGAACATTTAAACTTATAAAAATAGAAATGTCAACTCACATGTTTGATAGATCCCAGTCCCAAGCCATTCAAACCATCATAAGCCTTCATGTGCAGTAATAGATAGCTTCCAGAGTAATTGTCTTACCTTACTTTCTGGTATGGAAGTTCTATTAATCTAACATTGTAGTTCAACATTTCTTCTGCCTTTGAATGCTCTCTTTTCTTCAAAACTTTTGAATTTGATTTACCTGCAACATATATATTGTTATTAGATAACATTGAAACAGAATATACTACCAAAAATTTAACTTATATTATTATGCTTACTGTCTCTTTAATAAAACTCTTGATTGATTCTCATTCCTCGGTATCCTCGTACTCTGTGCTGTCCAGTTGATCAATTGTTTCATTTCTGAAGTTTATGACAACAACGAAATAATGATCCTCCTTCTTCAAAGGAATAAATACCTGCAAACCAAATTATTCAATATTTAGATTTAAAGAATTGTTTATTTACTTTTATGATATATACTTTAACTTTAAACAATGTTTTAGTTACATTAATTAAGTTTTATTTAACTTACTCATTCAACTGCATCCTAGTCCACTGCTTGAGTTTTTGTCCATTCTTTCCATATCTTTTGAAGTTCGGTCACTCCCCTTTTCCCATTTGCTCTCAAACAAACAGGTAAAGCTTCCTGCAAATTTTTTCCAAGTTAATTTATCATATTTACAGAGCTTGTATTTTTGTATTATAAACATGAAGGCAAATCCAAAGTATTATTGTATTTTTATATCAATTACTATGTGGTCAAATCCAAAGTAGAATCTGACTAGCTGATTTTCAGGCCTTTCTCTCTCTTTTTTATAACAGTTTTGGTGGAAAGCCCAAGTAGTGATCAAAAAATTTGTAACTTTCCATTCATCCAGCAATGAATTACAAACCTCTCTTGTTATTTCAATTGATTCACACAAACAACCTACAACTTCATTGTAATATGTTTATCATTAGAATAATTTTATTTGCAAACACGAAAAAATAAAAAATTTGCAACAATTACATACCTTTTGTTTACCAAGTTGTAATCATTGATAGCTACAAAGTTAATCACTTGGTTAAATTGCAAGCTCATGTTTTCCACACAGTCCTTGTTTTCTTTCAGGAAATCTGACACATATATCATTTTCTTCAACACTGAAAACTCAGCATCCACATCAAATTTTTTGCTTACTTTGAACTTTGAAACTTTATCTACAATGGCATCTCTGTTTGAATTGATGTTTGACTGAACAAGGGAAGCACATATTTCTACACGATACAACTTCCTTCTGTTGGCCAACCCGAAGTCTCCATTAAACAATTCCCCATTAAAGCACAACATATGTACCATACAGAAAACACCGCAATCAAGTGTTTGTTATGTTGATTTCCAAGGAAATGATACATTGTCAAACTCATAAGACATTATATCTTCAGCTTTTGGATGCTCTAGTTTGTTCATTAACTCTGACATTTCTCCTACCTGTAATAATTGAAATTAAATCATTTTAATTACTTTAGATGTGTTATTATTTACTATTACATGTAAATCATAAACTTTAAAAATATTCATACTTAATAATAAAAATAGAATGTTATTTACTTTTAAAATAGATTTCAGATTAAGTACAGAATCATACCACAGTAGATGCAACATTTTTATAGTAATCCACATTAGTTGTTTCATAAATTCTGTTATCCAAGTACTGGATGCTTCCTTTCAACATGTTCACCACCACCACACTATAATGGAGATTCAACGGAATTGGGATAAACACCTGAGATTCAAATTGTATTTGTTAGTTTTTTTTTTTTTTTTTTTTTTTTTTTTTTTTTTTTTGAAATCAAATTTATACTACATTAGAGAAAATTTATTACCAAATCAACCTCCATAAACTGGTGTTTTGCATTGCACAATTGGAGCCAATACAACCAAGCTTGGCTTAATTCAATCAAAACTGATTTAAGAGAACGATCTTTAGCCTCTTGAGAAGTTTTCTGAGACGCGAGAGAAATCTCTAGTGGTATCTGCATATTCATGAAAACACAAAACAGATAATGTATTTAGTATATATTCTGTATATATTCTATTCTTTATTCAATGTATCACTTACATTGTGGTCAATTTTAAAGAAAAAGCATGATGGTTTGGCCGTCAATCTTGATTTATTCATTAAAAATGACCATGCTTGAAAAATGATTGAATTTATCAATTGATTTAGGACTGTTGGTG